TCATGTCATGTCATTATTGAACTTACTTAGTCCACTCAGAATTGAAGCTTATATTATGTCAACAGTCTTCGAAGATTATCAAGTAAAGTAAATACTACAGCTTTCTTAGATTGGTTTCAATTTTCTTCGCAATAGAAATCATTTCGAAGTAAACCGCATTGAGCTGTCTTAGTGCAGTCTTTGGTTTCTTAGTAATTAACAAAGCAAATTAGAATGGATAATTCTGGTCACACAAGTCTGAAGGTTCTCTTAAGAATTGCGCTTTATGCTTACAATTTTCATAAGATATCCAAATACTTCAGTTGGCTTTTCAGCCAGGTATTTCTACCTTAATGATAAATGTAGGTACTCCTTTTATTGGATTACACGCGAAGACCATAATGCCATTGGCGGAATATCAATCGAGACGATATTCTCTTTTGGTACCTACTAGACTAGTTAACTAGACAGAAGTTATTCTTTTTAATAAAAATCTTCCCCCACATTAGGATTTTCTCCTGTATCGTGGGTGCGTTTATAAACATACAAGCCCCAAACAACAATCTGTGGATCACACAAAGGGTTGTTCCGTGCGGGAATCGAACCTGCGACACGTTGCGCGGCAGCCAGTTGCCCAACCACCGCACCAACCGTGCAGTCAGTTGAGTTCTCATAAGTCATCATCATTATAACATCACGCCTTTTATCCTCGAAGGGGTAGGCAAAGGTGTACTATATGTCACTATACAATGTAAAACGCACTTTTCACTATTTATGTTATGAGTCCCATGTAATAGAGGGTGAACCTATTGTCATATACGGGACACAATTCCAGACTCCGCGCTACTACTGAGAATGTTTTTTAAAAACCCAGTAATAGTTTGCCCGACCCGAGAATCGAATCCGAGACCTCTTGCCTGGCAGTCGCCAACGAGGCAGTCCATCATTCTCATAAATTGTTACAAAAATATATTGTAGGTAGAACATTTTTCGGTTCAGTTCAGAAGCAACAATCAATGTTAACATACAAATATTCTGTTTTAGTATAAATATACTGGGGTTAATATAAGGCGTTCTATAGTTTCTGCATAATAGCCCAGTAAAATAAGGATCCGACGATAGAACCAGAAAGCCGTAAATTGGTATAGGCCTTTGTTTTGAGATACTAAACACTAGGCTATAAAATGTATCGCTTAATCTCGTCTGCGTCACAAGATATGCTAGGTTCAAGGTTTTAGAGTTCAGAAACCAAACATTTTTAATTAATATGGCAGAAACAACTTTGCGCTTTTTAGTCCCTGAACTAGTCCAATATGACATTCACTTTTTATCAGTTATGCCTTGTTAGCACTATGCTAGTATTTTAGTCAAGTAGCGACTATTTAGTAACTCTCTCTCGCTTCGATATTGAGACAGAAACGAAAGGGATATACTAAAGACTTACTGCTCGACTAAAATACTAGCATAGTGTGAACAAGGCTTTAGGTATCTTACGAGTTCTATAAGGTAGACTGTAGAGTGGGAACTTGTTGGGCCTTATATATTATTTTGAGATTTATTTACTAAATTAATTATGTTTAAGGGATTTTTCCTCACGTATCCAGTAATTCTGCTTATTTAAGAAAATGTAGGGGCTAATTTTTATAAGCAACATACAAGTAAGACACATAACGCGGCGAATGTCATGCAACCAAACAAATGTGACATTATAATCCAATTTTTTTTCAGTATCTTTAAAAACTACATTTTTTTATGGCATAAGCCGGTAAACGAGCAGACGGATCAGGTGATGGTAAGCAATCGGCGTCGCCCATGGACACCTGGAACACCAGAGGCGTTACAAGTGCGTCACCGGCTTTTTGGGGATTAGGAGTTTGACCATCGTTGGGGATTCAGGGATTGGGGAGATTGGGGAAGGGGAAGGTAATTGGGCCTCAGGTAACCTCACTCACACGACGAAACACAACGCAAGCGTTGCTTCACGTCGGTTTTCTGTGAGGCCGTGGTATCACTCCGGTCGAGCCGGCCCATTCGTACCGAAGCATGGCTCTCCCACACTTAAATATTAATACTGATATAATTTCTATTTTCCAGTATTCAAACCACTCACACAAGGGCTTAGAAGAACTTCTACAATTATCTAAGTCAGTGCGTTACCGCAATATTTCTATTAAAGCGAAATCTCTCAGTTACTTCAACCCTCCATTCAAAGACTATGCTTGCTATCAAGGGTCCCTGTCCACTCCACCATGCACTGAGTCTGTCCTCTGGCTCGTTAGAGGAAGGACATTGTCTGTTATGAGAGTAAGTACAAAGTATTGAAGTCATCATCATCAACAGCCTATAAATGCCCAATGCTGAGCAAAGCCTCTTCTGACACGGAGAAGGTTTGAGCATTAATCACCACGCTTGCTTAATGCGGGTTGGTGATTACAAACTTATAATTAGAAATTATAAGCCCTGGTTTCCTCACGATGTTTTCCTTCACCGTTTGTCAGTGGTGTTTAAATAATCTTAGAAAGTACAAATAATTCGGAAAAAATCACATTTGGGTACTTGCCATTGGAAGGTTTTGAACCCGCACCCTCATGCATGAGAAGCGGACGTCTTAAACCTCCGGGCACCACGACATAATTTGCATCATCAACATAATTTACAAAGTAATGAAGTAGTTAGAAATAATTTGCATCGATTGTTTCGTTATCATTGATTGTGTCGCTGGTATTAGATACATACCATCATACCACTTTCATTATAGGTTTAACTTTTCCAAGATTATAGGAACATTTAGAAAACAAATCTTACCTTCTTTGTTATTGAAATAGTTTGCACAATAATTTATCAACTGTAATGTGTCAAGGTGATTTAAGAATTCCAAATATTGTTTTTGGTTTTAAGACGTAGCCATAGACTCTCAACCTTGAGACATCTTAATCTACATTTTACAGTCCCTTTATCTAATTACGATCATGTTACCAAGACAAGCTGTAATGCTAGGGGTCCTCGTAAATATGTCGTCTCGTTTGAGCTCGTAGATTCTATATCAAAATCTCCGTCTAACGATCTAGACAGAATCATAAATTATGAAGGTCGAACATGCACCATCTGCCTCTAACGTTAAATGAAAACTGTCAGAATTTTGTACACAAAGAAACTATATATTAAAATAAATATTGAAAACCTATTTTTGGCCAATATTTTTTAACTTATGTCTGTTTGATGTGACGTGCACTCGTGAGTCTAAAATAAAAGTTTTTAAGATCTATTAAAAGTCGAAAATGTTAGGGTAAGTTTCTTGACTATGCTTTTAGACTATATTAAAACTTAGTTATGAGTGATCGCCAGCTGTGGTTTATTTTTGGATAATCGACTAGTGGAATTTTGAAATGCAAAGTAATAATATGTTATGTTGTATAAGACAAACGCACAATTTTTTATTTTTCTGTATTTATAAATGGTTTTATTCAGATCCTGCTTTTGGCATTAAGGTAAAGTCAATCAGTAAGTTAAGATAATTGAAACCTTGCTTTATAATAAAATTGTTCAAAATGAGCAAATATGACGAAACTGCACGCCTTTTATCCCCACAGGGGCAGAGATGCACATTATGCCACTGTACAATGTAACATCCACATTTCACTATATATGTTATGAGTCCCATGTAATAGGGGATGAGCCTGTTGCCATATACCGGGCACAGTTCCAGACTCCGTGCTACTACTGAGATTTTTTTAAAACCCATTAATACTTTGCCCCACCCGGGAATCGAACCCGAGACCCCTTGCCCAGCAGTCGCACTTGCGACCACTCGGCCAACGAGGCAGGTCCAGCAGAGGCAGCAAATATACAAAAGTTTACATTTGAAATTAATACGAGTAAGGGTTATAATATATTGATTTATTAATGTTCGCGGGTCGTTGGCATATGACAGTGATTCATGATCCAACATTAGCAGCCGTTGGGTGTTCATGTGGATACTCATTATTGTCATTTTGCCATGATTCGTATTTGATACCAGTTTCAGTTTAATTATTATATATTGGTCAAATACAATTTAACACTTTCACATCCAGAGCTGACATAACCTGGTCTCTCAATCACTTTGTAAACAGTGGAATTAAAATGGATTGTAAATTGCCAAGGGTTAAATTATATATAATACTTATTGGATTAAATTCTACCAAGTCCTAACTATAAACCATTACCTACTTTCAAGAGTCAACTAAAATAAATAGTCTCACAGAATCAAACTTACTTAATAACAAAGCCAATAGATTTCATTTTTAACCAACGGTCGTGACTTTTAGCCAATGGTCGATGTTTGTCTCCTAGCCCGAACTGTTAAACTGAATTTATGTTGCACAGCAGCCAGTGTCATGCAAATTACACCCAAGTGACAATAAAAAAAGATTTACTGACTGTACCACCGTCTGAACTATTGTCCAAATGTATTTCCAATGTTTTAAATTCGAAAAACGTTTGAAATAAAAATGTAATCTGTTTAAATTACTGTTTTATTAGTCTTGTGGTCTCTCGATTCCCAGGTCGAGTACAACTGATGGTTAATTTTACCTATCATTTTTTTTTAAATTCATAATAGCAGAAGTTTCGATCCTATCGACTTAAGCAGTAATAAAAAGAAATTGTCCAAGAACAGGATCACGACTATCAATCAAAATTAGTAAACGGGCGTAATACAAAATCTATGTTGATCTAGACTTCACTTATGTCAAAAATCTATCTCAATCTAATATTTGTGTGAATTATAATTAGAAATTATAAGCCTAGGTTTCCTCACGAATTTTTCCTTCAACGTTTGTCAGGGGTGTCTGAATAATCTTAGAAAGTACATAACTCGGAAAAAGTCACATTGGTACTTGCCATTGGTAGGTTTCACCCGCATCCTCATGCATGAGAAGTGGGTGTCTTAAACCTCCGGACCACCGCGACACACGCGTTACTTAAATATTTTATGCTATTAACACAACATTGACAATAATTTCATTTCCCGTTTACCTTACTCTTGAACTCAATTGCAAAATTGTAAATTAAAAAACTTTCCCTTTTGATAATATGTACCATTAATATCAACTGACACGTTTTCCATTTGTTACCATTTTAGAACACCCTTCATATATCATTCCATTATACTACGTAAAATACAAAATGAAAATAACCTTTAGTATTTACTGAATAACATCTTTTGTCTTTTATATATTGATAACATAAGATTCTGATAAGATTCAATGACGTATTTGGCGAAGATATTATTGTAATAGTATGATCATAGTTCAGATAAGGGATTTGGGAAACCCAGTCTTATTTAAATGAAATGGTTAGGTGAATCAATCAGTCTAAAAATCAGATTAGTATTAAACATTGAAAAAGAAATCCATTCCAAATATCACACAGTGCGTAATTATAGAAAGTTTTGAAACTTGAGAAAATTAGAAAGTTTTTACATCAAATAACAATGATTATTTAGGTACTATAGGATTATTATCTAGATCTTTATTGAGTTAATATAAATGCGTTTATTCCAGGAATCGGTGGAAGAGATCCTCCTAAAGACTCAGTCGTCACCACAACAAATGTCCTTCCGTACTGTTCAACCGCTGAATGACAGAAAGGTGTACCTTTTTAAATGAATGAGGGTGAAGTTTTCGGAAGATTTCGGATATTGCTTTCTCAGAAACAAAATATGAATTATGTTCAGAATGCATAGTAACTATGTTAAGGCGAACGTGCAGATAGCTCGCCTGACGAGAGCTATCGGACTCCTGCTGCGCAGAGCTGACCCATTCGTGTTGGTGCTGCCTTCGAACTTCTGCAACACCGTGGAGTTAGTAGTCCAGCTGACCAAGCTAGGCATGGTTCTCTCACGTAAGAAAAGATACCTTAATCTGTAATGTTTATGGATGTCTCGTTTATTTCAGTAGGTACTATAAAAAGAAGTTTCTTTCAGTGGGTACTAGAAGTGATTGTACAAAACAAAAATTTGTTCGTAATTTTTGAGCTAGAATTGCATACGCACTTTTTTCGTTTCTTTGTTATTTTTATTATAATGAAATATGTAAATATTTAAGTCAGATTTCCTTAATAAGATTCTACTTATTTTACTTAATAAAAATTGTTTCGTTCAATAAAATTGGATAAAGTGATACTTTATTTGATTTATTGGCGGGTTCTAATATTTTTGTTTATCTTTGTGGTTTTTTCGTATAATAATATTAGCTTGTAAAATAAAAGTGGAAATCAGTTGTCAATTGTATTTTATTTATTTTTAATGCTTCTTAGTAGATGTGTTTGCGTCTATCGATGTTTGAAACCGACATCTAAATTATAATATGTAAACTATATTGTAGTATAATTAAAGTAATTTATCTCAATATAATTAAATAATATGTACATTAGTCACAGAAAACACTAATTTAAATGAAATAAGTCATTGTTTTAACCTTGAAAGCTAGTTTTTAAAATTCTTCTAAGGCAATGGACAGAATCAATCAGAATGTGAACGGTCAGTATCGATCGTATGAAAATTTAATGAGAATTGCAGCGTGGAGTACAGGTGATGGACATCGTGTACTTGAAGACAATTTCAGGCGTGGCTCCAGTGCAGTATCATTATAGTATAGGTTATTTATGAAGAGGTTGCTTATGGGACGACGTGACCTATCGTAGACCGCATCATCACCTAGCGAGATAGTGGTCAAAACGTCGGCCCATCAAATAAAAAATATTAAAAACAAAAGTAAAATTACCATACTACTAAAAATGTAAGTGGCGAAGTTTGTGAGAATGTATGTGACTGTGTGTGTGGAGGATAATACAAGAATATTAATTAACCCTAGAACACATTGCACAGCCGCCGGTCGTCTAATCACTGCACACTGCGCCAACCATACAGGGCGCGCAGTCAAATATGAATAATGAAAAGTTAATCGTATTAAATTAAGTGTTCAACCGTTAGATAAAGTAAGTACTGTGTGAACGTTTACTACCGACTTCACCAACTAGACCAATTTCCTAGTAAAGAACCGACCACTCTGAATTAAGATACGTCGAAGTTCTAATGCATGCAAGCAAAGTTATCCCTAGCATGGGGATGCTAGATACGATTATTATCATCAATATTTTTCGATAGGATTTTGAACATAAC